TAGTGGAATAAATTGGTAGTTTCAATCAGCGTAGAAGTTCACCTATTTTTAATGAAAGCACTCAGAACGTCATAATTAGTGGTAGTAATTTTCAGTTAGTCGAAAAAGATAACAAACTTTTGACTTTTCCACTAATTATACTTCAAAATTTGCGAGGAATGTCATTTTGGCCTTTGATTATCATCTGTCAAGAAAAATTTTGGTTAGAAATCAAAAGTTTATTGTTTTATAAGCTAAATATTATGCTTTCTCTATGGATACAACAAACTACCGCATGCTATTGCTAGGATATTTTATTAATTTTAATTGTGTTTTTTAGACATTGTGAATGATCGTAAACTAAAAACTATAAAGTGTAATTGAAACCATTAATTTATACCACTAATTGCGAGGTTCTGACTAAAGCTTAACTGACATTTTCTCCATAATTATCTTTTAGGACTTGATTATCTCGTTTTTTATCTAAAAACAATAAGTTATAGGGGTGAGCCACTTTTGAGACGCACCCGGTATATTATGTAAAGTACGTATAAAACATTTCATTATTTAAAATAAATCTTTCTCAAACAAAGCCGAGGCAACAAAGTAAACAAAATGAATATTATTCGCTAATTTTCACTCCTATTCTCTACGGAAACCGCCCTGCTCCATAAAAGGAGTTATAGGGTCATAAAATCATTACGCCTCAACTTGAAATAGAAGTTCCAGACTTAAAAACTTGCAGACACTTTAGAAAGCGCGAATATACGCTTCAATAAAATACCGCCCAGCATGCCGTTAAAGTCTATTTGTCTATGAAGAGAGAGTTTTGTTCTCTTTGAAATCGTAATCCAAAGTTAGGAGCATTTTATTGCTATAATGTCAAGCATTATCGATACCAATCAGTCTTATCGAATTTGAGTGATTATCAGAAATGCAACTTATTTCAGATACAAGGATGATATTTTCTCTTTGCCGTTTTTGAAATAAGTAATTTTTTATTTATTTAAATAAAAATATTTTTATCTAAGTAGAGCGACCAGCGTGCCGCCACCTCAAGGAAGGCAATGACAGACCACCTTGAGAATATTAGTAGATCAGTCTCTCAAATAGTGTCGTTCGATAAACTGTAGGTCCCGTGTACTTGTGAAACACTGATGACACACATCACAAGTACATGCGAGAGGTCGGCAACGCTCTGTGCAGAATATAGTTTTCGAAACCGGAATTGATTATCGGAACCGGGAATTTCGGTACCGTGCCTCTTAGGAAACGGGATTTCCTGGTTTTTTCGGTACTGACTAATTTTTGTTCAATGGTGGTGCAGTTCGATTGATTGGGCAAGACACTTATACGTGGTATCTTTAAAGCGACCAGGCGAGATACGATATAGGCGAGGCCGGGATATTCGTATATAGTGGAGTTTAATGGGGTAAAACTTTCTTTAAATATTAGTTCTAGTCCTATAATCGTGTCTAACACTGTTTTATGTATATTGAATTAATTAAAAACAGTATAGGCTTGGTGCATTTCAGTTGATTTCAAAAAATTTCGACCGCAGCAATACGACAGAAATCAGAAATTTTGGTTACGTATTTCACGCCGTCCCGGTTACAGTATGTTGTTTACATTAACGTAATATTGAAATCGTGGCCTTGTCATATATATTATTTAAGTTTATAAGTTTTTACTAGTGCAGTTATTGAAACTATAAAACATTCAAGTACGAGGTTTGTGTGATGTAAGCAGATGTAACACTGTTTCGGATAATAAAAAATAAGTGAAAAAGAACCCGGAGTAGGCGTCGTGTTGTGTTGTAACATTTTTTGTAAATGTTGATAAAATTACCGAAGAAATGTTAACGCGTAAAGGACAGCGTAATTAGGGCGTTGTTGGGTGCAATAACATTCAATAACGCAACTTTCCCGGATATTCAACTCTCCTGCCAACAACATTTTATAGCTTCATAGTTTCTCACACTGATTTGATTAAAAGCAAGATTGCAGCAAGGGATGGGTTTTCAAAGTAAAATGGATAAAAATTAAGATTTTTAAATGTAAATAATATCAAATTATTAAGTAATCAATCATGAAAAAATTAACATGAACAAAAGTAAAGAAAAAAGTATGGGTAACTTAAATTTCACATCAGACAACATAAACCAACTTAACTGAATTTGAGACAAAAGTCCTAAAATATTGAATTAAAAATGCAAATATCTATTAAAACATAACACAATAAATATTATAGGAACTTTAAAAAACAAAAGAAGCAAGAACGATAAGAAATAGCATCATTACTTATTTAGAAGAGTTTGATTTCAACCGATAGAAAGTATCAAGGATCTTCTCACGTAACAAATAAAATATTATTTTAATTATTGTTACCGAGGCCCGTTTCTGTGATGTCCAAAAAGATCTGAACCCTAATTGGTAGTATTAATTAGAGTTTCCAGGACCGTACTAAAATATATTCGTTCAACGATTGTGGAGTTCGCCAACTAGGAAGCAAAGGATGGTTCTCAAAAGTAAAACCGATAAAAAATTGAGTTTCAAATGAAAATAATATCAAATTATTAGGTCATGAGAAAGTAAACATAAACAAAAATAATGAACACAAGCGAAAAAAAAAAGAAAACAAATAGGTAGCTTAAAAATTATATCAAACAACATCAACCAACATCGAAACCAACTTAACTAAATTAGAAAAAAACTTAATATTTTCAATTAACGATGCAAATGCCTATAAAAACATAACACAAAAAAATATAACTAGTACATTCAGCAATATTATACTAAATAATAAAATAACATATTAAACTTCAATAATTGCTAATAAACATTATAGAAACTTCAAAATAAGTTCAGAAGTAAGAACAGTAAGAGATAGCATCGCACTACTTATTTAGAAGAGTTTGATTTCGACCGCTAGGAAGTATCAAAAATTTTTCGCTCGTATCAAAAAATATGTTTAATAAACTCGCCAGCAAAATTAATCCATAATTTGATTTTTTTATTTTTTGGAAAACTAAAACGAATTCAAAAGTAAAATTACTATGTATTTGTTAGACAACTCGTTACCAAAATAATAAATTTCAAAGAAATTTTATTAACTAGCTAAACAAGAAGATACAGTGGTTCAAAGAATAATGGGCAAAACGCAGTAGAAAAGCATTACAAAAAAATAATCAGAAGGCACGGTTTAATAACGGGTACTGCCTCCCCTGGCACGGATTACGGCCTGGCAACGTCTGGACATGCTGAGAACCTCATTCCTTATTTCATCTTGCTCGATAGCGTCCCATACTTCTTCTAGTCTTAGCGATAACTCATTTAAATTGTTGGGTGGATTTTGTAGAGCTCGTAGACGCCTATCCATCATGTCACAGATAGGTTCGATGATATTGAGGTCTGGACTATGCGCTGGAAAATCCATCGTCTCGATTTGGACCTCTTCCAAGTAATTGTGGACAACTCTGGCAATATGTGGCCTGGCGTTATCGTGCATAAAGAGAAAATTGTTCCCTATAAAGGGAGCAAAAGGTACCACTTGAGGCTCCAAAATGTCCACAATGTACCTGTAAGCAGTGAGACGGCCTCTCTGAATTATCACCAGTTCGGTTCGAGCTTCCATATTAATCTATCCAAAAAAATCCTTATGGGTTTTTCGCCACTGCACTGCAAGAAAAATCTACAAAATAAAATAGTTATTTTTTGTAAACACTTCTGCGTTAAACCTAAACGGACGCTGCTTGTCAGAAGTTGTGTTTACAGTAATAAAAATTTGCCTGACAAAGAAAAAAATGCTTAACGTTTCGGAAAGTTTTCTCTTTCCGTCGTTGAATCCGCCACATAGGTATAGACATTTTTTCCATATTAATGCCGCCTCATACCATAACCGACCCACCACCATAAGCATGTTTTGGTTGTATACAGCATTGCGCAAATCGTTCCCCGATTTTCTTCCCGGCCTTCTGTATACTGGAATACGCGATCCTTGCCATATAGGCAAAACCTAGACTCATCTGTGAACAACACGTTCGACCATTGATGGTTTTCCCAATTTACATGCTCTCTAGCAAAAGCCAGTCGGACTCTTCGGTGCTCTGGGGACAACGGGGGTCCAGTTGCAGCCATTCTGGGTCTCAGATTATCCTCTCTAAGACGTCTTCTTATCGTATCGCTGCTTATTTGTTGGTGATATCGCCTTATAAAATGCTGGCGGAGCAATGTAGCTGTCACAAACCTTTATCGCAGAGCCTCAAGTCTCAAAAATCGATCCTGATGGGTATCGGTTATTCAACCACGGCCTTGGCCTTGTCTTCTCTGGTTATTTCCAGTGTCCTGGAATCTTCTTATTGCTCGCGAGATCGTTGATTGTCCAACATGAAATCTTTCTGCTATTTATACCTGAGACAAGCCTTCTTCAAATAATGCAATAACTGCAGCACACTCTTTGGGGGCGAGATTGCGATTTTGACGTACGTTAGGGTTCATTTTACTGATTTAAGTATTTAACAGACAACAGACAATAAACACACTCAAATAAAATGATCTTAAAATAAACGACTTCGAGCATTTCAGCGAATATACCTGTTTTGGGAATTTATAAAAACTATTGATAAATTCTTATCAGTCATGAAAAAAAGGATCGCCTCAGCAAGAAATAATAAACAGAAGTAATTTTAAAAATTAATTAAAATACAGACAATAAAACTTATAAGGCAATATACGATTATGCGTTAATTTTGCTGGCGAGTTTAATTATAGTCCCGAAATAACCGGGAATTAATAATTTCGAGTGCCGATTCTTTAATATCTCAAAAGAACTGGGAATTCCTGGTACTTTCGGTACCGAGATATCCCGGTTCTGAACCCTAGTGAAGAACAAAGGCACTGAAGGAAGAAGAAAAATATTTGCACTCATTTAAGACTCACCCTCTATAACTACTAAAAATGGGTTTGATAATAACAATTCTAAGATGGTTTTGCGATAATTTAAAGTAATCTTATTGTTTTCAGGCACAAGAAATCGAGTAGACGACATCCTTCATCTTCCTCTTCTTCCAGTCAATCCAAAGCCAGAGGTGGAGAAAAATTTTTGTACGACGAAAAACGAATCTCCAAATACCGGACCAATGCAGGGACCAGTCAGGCAAGAGTCGCACCACCGTTGCCAGATTTACGAGTTGATTTTTTCAGGTAATTAGTTCTAATGAATACACGATTATATTCTTCATTTTATTTAACTTCTGTCGAAATACTGCTGTCAAAACGATAGCATTTTTGAAACCAAATTGCAAAGAAATATAAAATAAATAAGATAAACAAAAAAGTCTCTCAAATAAGTAAAATAAATGTTGTAGATCTAACCAAAAGAACTATACCGGCTGTTTCTCAAAAATGGCTCTCTTCTGTACATTTTTTATATTTTATACAGGGTGCCCCAAAAATAAGTGCAAGTCTTTTAAGGGGTAGTAGATCTCGATAAAAGAAACGTATTTTCTCTTTATCGTTTTTCAAATAAGTCCAAAATAACGGAGTTATTTTTCTTTGAAAATTTCCAAAAAAAATATTTTTTGCTAAAATTTTGAGAACCACTGGATCTTTTCTGGATTTTCTTTCTTGTAAATTTAATCTAATACCTATGTTGCCATATTATCAAAAAATTATGTTCTTTTAACTAAAAACTAAGGAAATTTCAAAAAAAATTTGAATTTTCAATTTTTTTTTACAAAAAAACTCATAGGCGTGTTTCTGGGGTTGAACTATACTATCAGTTAAAATACTTGCACTTATTTCTGGGAGACCCTGTATAAATCAATAAATTATAGATATTCATACATTCTACAGGGTGTTTCAAAAAACATGTGCCATCTCTCGTGGGGAGATTCCTCACGTAAAAATAAGATTTATTTTTCTTATCAACATAGGTCCGATTCAGCTTTGTTTCGTAGCTACAGGGTTTTAAAATCTTAATAATCTTTCGATTTATTATAATTTTCTTCCAAGTATTTTTAGCGATTGGAATGAAATTTTGAAGGTAAAAGTTACTATATGTGCTACAAATTTTAATGCTAAAAAAGTGTCGATAAATTCATCAGGGACGTGCATATGGGTTATCACTGGAATATTTTTCATAAAAAAACATATGCGCCACGGAGCCATTTTTGAGAAACACCCGGTATAGTTTTTTGGTCAGATGTACAAGATTTATTATACTACAGTCATTCTATTCAGAGTGTCATTTTTTATCGAATAAAGTAAAAAAATATTAGAGTAAATAAATAGGAAATTACCATTTTTAAGATCAATTATTAAAAATATCCGTGTGATAATTTAGTATTTCTTATTTGAAATAAAACTATTTAGTTGAGTGTTCAAAATGACACTAACTTTTATTCTTCGTATTAATATAAAGTTTATAAAATATCATGATGTAAAATAAACTAAGTATTGAACATTCATTCGTAGAAATACATATACGTTATTTACATTTTTTACAACCTACTAAAATATTTAAATCTACTAAAAAATCTAAATCAAATAATAGAAATTTCATACATTTATTACAATCCGAAAATTCCAACTTTAAAAATTTTAAAATTATTTTGAGAACTGCAGACATCCACCACCAATCGGTTGGCTCCCAGGCTTCCAGCGCATTCCAGCGTACGTTATGTTTTGCCGTATGGACAAGAAAATAATATATATTTAACTAATGTCTGCAATAATTGCTACGATTTATTCTTGCAGTTAAGGTGAAATCTGTATTTGTGTACTTTAAGAAATAAGTATAGTGTGTTTTTAACGTAAATTCTTCGAGGCTGTAAAAGAAGTATACGGTCCAACTAAGAAGGCAAGATGCCCAATCATGGCACAAAATGGCGAACTTCTAAAAGAGGAAGAGCAAATCAGAAACCGCTGGAAAGAGCACTACAGCCATATCCTTAACCAAGAAAACAACCCCAATATGGAAGCAATCAACATAATACCTCAATATAACAGCCTCGATGTATTAGACATTCCAATAACAGAACAGGAAATAAAAGACTCCGTAAAACAGCTTAAAAACAACAAATCAGCTGGCTGTGACGCGATTCCGGCGGAAATATATAAGTGTGCAAGTAAAGAACTTATTGGTCATTTAAGGCTCTCTTTGATGTCATATGGGAAAGCGGAGAGGTACATCAGGACTCTTGCAACGCGAATATAGTGAATATATTTAAGAACAAAGGAAGTGCATCAGACTATTGAAACTACGGTGGAATTTCACTACTGGCTATCGGAGGAAAAATTCTTGCAAAAATTATGTCAAACCGCCTGTACCCACATATAGAAAAAATCCTCCCAGAATCGCAAACGGGTTTTCGCACCAACCGCGTACCGTCGATTCTATATTCTCCATCCGGCAACTACAGGAAAAAGTAAAAGAGCAGCAGTCTAAACTTTACGTTGCATTCATCGATCTAACAAAAGCCTTTGACTCTGTAAACAGAGATGCACTTTGGGCAATTATGAAAAAGTTCGGAGTACCCATCAAATTTCTTACAGTGTGTGAGCTCCATAACAACAACAAATCAAGAGTGTCATATCATGGATCACTGAGCGATCCCTTCCTAACAAACACAGGCGTTAGGCAGGGATGTGTCTTTGCGCCTCTCCTATTCAATATATTCATGGCAGCGCTCTCCATTATAGTGGACAGCAAACTGCAGGAGAGAGGTTTGGGTATTAGATACAGATACGACGGCGGTCTGTTCAACATAAAAAGACTCACGCAAAAACACGTACAAAATTCATCACAGAATTTCAATACGCTGATGAGTGTGCTCTAGTTGCAAATACGTTACAGCAATTGCAAGAAATGTTGAACACATATACATGGGCATACGAGGTCTTGGGACTTAAGCTGAACATCGATAAAACTAAAATCATGTGCACTCCCCCGGAAGATCACAACAATGCTATAAAAATCGGAGATGAGCTGTTGGAATATATATAGCGAAATTGGAATGGAATATATATAGCAAAAATGGAATATTATATAGCGAATATTGGAATATATAGCGAAATTCAATTATCTCGGCAGTTTGATTTCCGAAAGGGCCAATATCGGCTCTGAAATTCAGCACAGGATTAGCAGCGCCTCAAGAGCATTCTGGAAATTAAAAGACAGGGTTTTCTACAATCATGACTTGAGCACAAAAACGAAACTTGCGGTGTACCGAGCGATAATAATTCCCACCATGTTATATGGAAGCGAAACCTGGGTGCCGTACCGCCAACACATGAACGTATTAAACAAGTTGCAACAGAGACATCTTACACAACTCTTAAGAATAAAATGGTTCCATCATGTCTCAAACGTATCGGTCCTTGAAAAAGCTAACTGCGAGAGTATTGAAGTCATGATTACAAAGTCCCGCTTAAGATGGGCTGGTCACGTATGCAGAATGCAAGAAAACCGCATACCAAAATCGTTGCTTTACGGTGAGCTTGTAGACGGTAAGAGGAGGCCGGGTGGACAACTCAAAAGGTTCAAGGATATTTTTCACGAAAACTTAAAGGAAATTAACAAGCAGAATGAGTGGGAAGAGGCAGTTCACAATAGAACGGAATGGAGAAGAATTGTAAAGTCAGTTAAGAGCGACAACCAAAAAGTAAAGAGGCAACAAAGCAATGAGATTTTTGAATGTCTGGAGTGCGGTAGACAGATAACGTCACATATCGGGCTTTTCAGTCACAGAAAAGCTCATGAAAGAAAACGCCTTGCGTGACCATCTTCTGATGCGTGTCAAATACTCGTCAGCGAGTAATGGCGGAATGTATGTATAGTGTGTTTTTCGAGAATTTATTAATAATGTCACTAATATATTTAAAATTAATTTTAATATATGACAAAATTATACCACTATTTAAAATAATTGCCCTTATTTAAAAGACACCCTTTTTAGAAGAGTGTTGTAAAGTATATGCATAAAAAGGAAAATGTCATGTAGCCAGTTTCAACCGTCATGCGTCACCCAAATCAAACGTTGGAACCGAGGTTGGAACATAATATCTAGTCTTTTCAGCCCTTCTTGTAACTGTCGCGTGATATTTCAGGAAAAAATAATCCCGCACCCCGAAAGACGTTGATGGAATGTTTCGATTTATACCATAAATGCCGCGCTATTTTATTTTGTTCATAATATAGCACGCTCGAAGAATAATAAAATATTTAATAATTGCCAAGAAAAAAAAACAGCTGTCAGGTTAGAGTTTATCTGTAATAATTTATAATATCGTTTCCATTTTCCAGTGAATACATTAAATATATAATTAAATATGGGAGTTTTAATTTAGGAAACAGTAAATAGCAAAATAAAACACTAATTAACCACAATAATACATCAAAACCCTTTAGAATTTGTCTTTGGAGTTTAGACTGTTACGTTACAGATACCAGGATTGGCATGATTTAAATCAAGTGATTTTTTTAATTTTAATCATGTGATTTAAATCAGAAAAAAATAAGTTTATGGAAACTTTATTATAAATCAAAAAATTACTGTAAAAGTTATAAAAATGTGTCCTGGAAAACTATAAAAAATATTTCTATAACAGATACAACAGATAATAAATCGAAAAATAATTGTAAATGTTATAAAACTATATAAAAATATCTATTCATCAATTTAATTGTTTTACCGATTTTTAAACTAATTTCGTGTGAATCCATTAGATCGCTAAATGCAGGGATTTATTTTAAAATTTATGTATAAGTGACAAAAATTCGCTGTTCGAATACATATAATTCGCAACGTCTAGTGCCAGAACTAGGTTCTTCCGATATAGAGACCATATTATCTTCATTCCCGAGAATCTATAATTGTTATGAGAAAATATGTTGTTTTATATTTTTTTGAAACGGTTGTATGTTTTCAAATTCCTACCGACATTTTTATCTGCAGTAAGCACTTTATACTTTGACATTAGATAATACATACTAATATCATTCTTGACTTAAGACTATTTCCGAACAATAGTATATTGTTTTATTAGGAGTAAAAATTATACTTTTTTGACGATGCTGTACCTTTAAAGGACCATCGTAAAGCTATTCCGACGTTACAGTGAGGCACAAAAAGTACATTTTTACTCCGAATAAAAAATACTATTTTTGTAAACATTGCAAATAATTTTTTAATTAATTTCAA